GAGAAATATCTGTTTGATATCGCATTCTTCCGAAATAGAAGCTTTGTTTTCTATGGGGAATCTCATAAACGAAAAGAGAATGCAAAATTGGCCTATATGGTGCTCTAACTTTCAGGCCAGCAAACTCATTCATTGGATTTGTTCACTCTAAATGGGGTTACAGGTAAAACAACAGGTAACTAAACTAGTTTTGTTTACATAAGACAACCTTGGCGACCTTTCACAATAAATATTTGACATTCGCTGAGCTTGTGGCCCGACCGGGCCATTGTTGAATAAATAATCAGGTCGAATTGAATTCAGCTAGCAGTTATTCACTCGGCTTTCAAATCAATGCTTAGTACATACACATACGGTCGTTCTCTCAACGCAACGCAACATGACGGCCTGTACTGATTCAACCATCGTTGATCTTCCCAAAATTAAGTCAGAGGACAAACTCGACTGTGCCGTGTGCGGGGACAAATCCACGGGGAAACATTATGGAGTGAGCACATGCGAAGGTTGTAAAAGTTTCTTCAAACGCACGGTTCGTAACAGCACTTCGTACACGTGCCGAGGAAACAACAATTGTACAGTGGACCGGGATAATCGGAGCCGCTGCCCGTCTTGTCGATTTCAAAAATGTCTCAACACAGGAATGAAAAAGGAAGGTAACCGTACTCAAAGTGTTTTTGAAATATTTTAAAACGTCTTCTATGCGATTCACACAATATTTATGTTTTGAGAAAAGCTTCTTATCATAAAATATTTGTACTTTTAAAGTTTTGCTTTCTGGACTACGCGTTATTTCATCGATAGGTTAAAAGCTTTAACTTCCAATGTAAAGCTTTAGCAAACGTACCGATTATATTCACACAATCGTGACTACTACTTTCAACAACCCAAACATCACGACAACAATTCAAGTTTGGTTTGTGTTGGAATGAAAAAGAAAAAACAGGGATTCCGACGAAAACATCTATTATGCGAATTAACAGTGCTGAAAGAATTAATCAAAAGAAAGCTATTGAAGTTAGAAATATACCTCTATTCATAGATGACATTCACTACTATAAATATTTTTGAAAGTCTCTATACATTTACAAATAGATGGCTAACTGGTACCATCAAAGACAGTCACACTTAATTCTAGTTTAAAAGATAACTTAAACAAATTGTGGTTTAGGAGAGCAAGTTCGGCGATTTTGTTTAGTTTTGATGTACTTCTGTAATAAATACTAAATGGACTCACAGTTACACTTCAATTACACCATGTTTTCTGAAAATATGAAGGCCTTCAGTTTCCGCCTTGTCCTGATATTAATATCACGCTTTCGATTCATTCAAAGTTTTATATTTCATCAACATGCAATAAATCGTTTATTTGTCACTTCTGTCCATAGATATTTACTGAATAAACGTATAAAAGGTTCAGGAATATCGATTATATTAAATTTTACCTTTTTTTGAAACATTTTATCCCTGTTATTTTATTTTTACCCGTAAAATTGCATTTGCTACGAGCAATGATGCGCGTGCAATGATAGATTGAATCACGAGAATCAATCTATCGCCGATAATATGGCAAAAAGATACATTTGAGCATAGTCTGTGGTCGCATGCACTTTGCTATAAGGGTCCACCCCTTTTCCAGAGGGATTCAACTCGAATTGCAGCATTATGGAGGAATGCACTGGGGCGAGGAAGTATCTTTGAGAAAATGTAACACGCACGTGCAAAAGGAGAATAATAAGTCAATAACGTTCCGGTGTAGCAGTAAATTTTGCCAGGAATCAATAGAAACTTGTAAAAGTAATCAGTAGCGTTATGACGTTTCCCGAAAAAATTAAATAGCACTGTAAAGCATAAACGAGAGAATGCCCACAATTTTGGGGAGTATTTCCGTATTCTTACATGGTGTCTCCCAAAGTATGTGTAACAGAATTGTCTCCCCAAACCTCCACTTTCAAAATAGCAATCTGAATCCTTAATGACTCCTAATATGTAAAATAATGCTTTTATCACCCAGCCGTTCAAACAACAAAACTACCAGCTTTTCCGGGATTCTCTTTTCCTTACTTCGGGGACCCAGCTGGTTTCTACGCACCAGGCCTCCTGCCATTCACATTCCTTCAGCCGGCACTGTCTAATCCGGGAAACATTCACATGGGAATGTTCCCACAAACCCAGGGAACTTCTGAGGTCGTTTATGAGCTGGCGGCCCACGTGCTGTTCTCGGTCGTAGACTGGGCTCGAAAGCTGCCAACCTTCAACAACTTGGTGGAAAGCGACCAAATCACCCTACTCAAAATGGCTTGGAGTGACCTGTATCTACTGGAAAGCGCTCGCAGTCCGATTCATATGTACCTCCAGCAGCTTTACGCCACAGCTAGCATGCAGGCCAGGCAGGTTTCCATGGAGAATATTCTTAAACGGATGGAGCATGCGCGGTTGTTTCAAGACCAGGTGGAGAAGGTTCGGTCGCTTGGAATGGATTTGACAGAGCATTTCCATATCAAGTGTGTTGTCTTGTTCCGAACAGGTGAGGTCAACAGTTCTTCACTTGATAGTTTAATCCATTTAGGGAAGATTTCTCTTGTTCGCGTCCAAATATTTCTCAATCAATTTTCACCAAAATTGAAAAACTTTCATAAGGAAATGTAAGAAACTTCAAAAATTTTAATCGTTCTGCGTTTCCCCCCTACATATAGATGAAAGAGACAGGCAGTAATTATATAAACTGATCCACAAAACATACGATATCATAAGGACTACATATGAAATGAAATTCAGCATCGTCACCAAAATTCTTCTCTAGACTTAATGGCCCGCCCCTCCCGGGAATCATGGTAGTTGTATTCATTGAAACAAATATCCAGTCCAAGATGATGAAAACAAGTGCCATGATTCCCTTTAGGTGCATCCTGGCCATTGCTCACCAGTGTCTCATTCAAGTCCATAACCAACAACCAATTCACACTGTACAGAGAGAAAAGGTTTAGCCATTTTTATTAAAGAAAAGAAAAGCTGGATCGTCACTATTTACCAGTAAAACTGATGAAGACTAAGATAGCATCGTAAATTTAAATATAAAATTTGCAGTCATTAAAAACGTTAAACAAATTTAGTCGTGATGCGAAGAAGCTAAAACATTTCTTAAAGGTTGAAACCTCAGGGTCCTCTTAAAAGTAGCTACAGATTCGCAAAGTCTCAAGGTCGGCTCTAGAGAGTTCCAGAGATTTCAGTTCTGTAATTGAACGTTTACTGGCGAGTATACGTAACGGTTTTAAAAGACGGAATGTGAAGCCTTGCGAGTTTCTTTTGCAAGAATGACAGATGCTTACTTTAAGAGAGGTTTTGGAATGTTTCTGACATCGCTATCTTTCCCATTTTTGCGTGGAAAATGTCCCCTACGCGATAGCCAATATGGTCGAAGATAGTGGCTCCTTGTTAAGGTTTTCTGTGGTTTGTTACTAAGGTCAAAATATTGTTTCTGCAGACGGCTCACCCATTACACAGCCCCAACAAATCGAAATCCTTCAAGACACTTCCCAGAGTTCCCTGGAACAGTACATTAGAACCCAGTACTCCAGTCAGCCCACGCGCTTCGGAAAGCTGCTTCTTATGCTGTCATCTCTGAGAAAAGTCGAGCCCGCGGTCATCGAACAGCTGTTTTTCGCAGACGTGCTGCGTGGCGCATCAATGGGAGACGTGTTAAAGAAGATGCTGACCAGCAATTCTTCAGCACCGATTGTTCACGGGTCGTTAATGGCTTAAGGGGAAAGCGATAACGCTGCGTTTTGCACAAGAGAGAAAGAGAAAAAAAAAAAACTTTTGGCTTCGTTGGCAAGATAATCAAATCGTCGTTGAAAAAAATATAAAATTGAGCAGCCGTTTAGAATTTCAACGTGCTCTGAGCCGACACTATTTATATACAGGATGTTGACATGCGATCTATACAAGGTTTATTTGATAGGAAAACAGGTTATTTTTTTTAAAATAAGTCAAATGTGCCAGAAATAAAAATTGATAATTATACGTAAAAACTTAAGGAAACAGATGCGAATAATTGTATTACGATTTATGCATGGAATGTGATAAAGTGGAGAGTACAGAGGACATTTCAATTAACATAAAATGTTTTACTGGTTGTTCAGATGAAAAAAATATATCCATATTTTATAATCTTTCAAATGAAAAATGCTATCAGATAAGTCGACAAATGGCTAGAAAACGTCAGGTATATACCCACGAAGTCGAGAACAATTTTACAGGGAAAAACCGTTGTTTCATTGTGCATAACATTACAACATAACATGACATAACATGACGTTGATGATGACCTTAACAATGACAATGACCACGGCGATGCAATGATGATGATGATCTTGATAATGATGATGATGACGACCACGATGACGATGATGATGACGACGACGACGATGATGATGATCTTGATAATGATGATGATGACGACGACGACGACGATGATGATGATGATGATAACGAAC